CTGACCAGCCACTGGGTATCTAAGAAGAAGGGAGTCTCCTTTCACTCTGATTTTCCTGCTGGGAAACTGAGGCACAGTCGTCTCTTGCAGAGCAGGAGAAATTTGAGTTCCTGAGGGTGTTTCAGGGGTGATGCCGCGGAGGTGCCTCAGCCCAGGTGGGCTGATCCTGGGACCCAGGGCTGCAAATAACCTGGAACACGGGACCTGCTTATGGGGAAAATTGATCTCAAGTAGGACAAAGCACAGCTGAGGAGGCAGCAGCCATCCCGGGGCTCCTGCCTGCGTACGGGCACGCGCCAAGAAACGATGGGCAAAGAGAGATGCGGGGCTGGAGGAGGTCGCTGCTGTCTCCTGTGCTGCTTCCCTGCTTCGGTAGCTCTTTGTGGTGTCTGCAAGGTCCTTGCACTCCCCCAAATCTCTCTTGGCAACTGGGAAAAGAGCAGAAGGTGCATCCCGAGGAGGACCAGGACGGCCGGACACGTCCCCGCCTTGGCTCAAGCGACAGCAGCATCCCGCACGCCGGCGATTTCCACCACCGGTTTTCTTGGGGGAGCGGGGGCAGAGGGAAGCCCCATGCTGATAATGTACTGAAAGTAAATGAAATTAAATAAGCGAAGCAGCACTCGCAGCTCCTGCCTTCCCCCCTGGGTAATTCAATTCGAGCGCGAGCGCTGATGGGATCTCGCCGGGGCTGCCTCTGTCACCCCGCTGGGGCCTGGATTCTTAACGTCTAAATAAAAGTTTCACTCAAGCATTTTTTATGCTCCTGCCAGCGGGATCAGCGAGCTGGCGTTGGGCACATTAATGTAATATTCATACTCGCAGGGTCTCCCTGTGTATCCGGCAGCACCGTCCCATTTTCATAATTATAAATGTCCCATAAAATGACATTTAGATTTGCATTAGCAAAAAGGGGTCGGGGCTTGGGTTGGAGAAGACAACGTGCCTTTTTACAAGTCGGATGCTCAGCGTCTGCCTGAGCAAAGCCCAAGTGGGTTTGTGCCAGGCAGGTGCCTTCACGTGTGCGTGGAGGAGGGATGCCAGGTCGGTGTCCTGGGAGGCGGCAGCACAGGGGATGTTTTGGCCCCATTAGGGTCTGGGAGTGCAAGGTCCTGTCTCTGAGGGGCACCCAAGGAGGGTGCAGGACCTCCTTGGGATGTTATTCTGCACCTTCACCCGTTGGGAAAAATCTTCTGATTTTTGACCGGCCTCTCTGAAGAGGTTGTGCCAAGGGGTTGTGGGAATGGGAAATCCCAAAGTTCTGCTTTGCTCTCTGTAGGACTGGAAGAAATCCCACTGAAGCCTATTCAAGACTCAGGGAACGTTTTGAAGCAAGGGTATCTGGAGAAGAGGTCCCGAGGTAAGGCCTGACAGAACATTACAAGATAATGTTTGGGGATGTCACCTCCAAATTACCAAGAATGCAAATTTTCACATGAAGAACAAGCAGGAAAATACATTTTTTTCTGCAGATTTTTCTGGAGGCACATGCAGCATCTTTCAGGCATCATACACACAGGGAGGGCACAGCCTTTATTTATTCTCTTTTGCAGATCACCAAACTGCACAAAGATTAAAACCCAGAAATTGAATTAAGCAGCAGCCCAGTCCTCTAAGGCAAGATGTGCCCTTCTAACGAGCGATACCTAACGAGGATAAAATCCGGGTGAAGACAAGGTAGTTCGTAGCATCACACCCATTAGCAAGTTGAGATAAGGACTGTGAGTCAGCCTCGGGTTTATCTTGATTTTACTGGCTCTTGTGAAAGCTACAAATTATTTCCTCATCACTCAGATTTTATCTTGATTTATTTAGTGTATGACAGGTGGTATGAGGCAAGAACGGCCCTTTTTTTTCCTCATGGCCATCAGCTGAGCTGTGTAACTGGCCCTGTGCTTGTTTTAGCTTGCTCCAATTACAGAGTAAAAGACATTTGCTTAAACCTCAATTAGGGAGGTTTCACCCAAAGCTGTGTTTCCTCCCAGTTGGCAGGACTAAAGGTCGCAGCAGCTTGGCTCAGCTCAGCCTGGAGGAGACTCCCAGGGGCTCCAGCCTGGTAGGACAGGCTGGTTCTCCCTTACTTGACTGAGGTTTCGTATCTAAATTTGCTTGCCTGAATTTTGTGCCGGAAACCTGCAGGATTTTGTTGGGAAGAAGTTCTTCTTTTCCCTAAATATTCATCTGAAGCATACAGTGAAAGAACAGAAATGAATGTTTTTATATTTTTTTTTTCACTCTTTTGCTGTCCTTTTCTTTCTAGAGCACAGCTTTTTTGGGTCAGAGTGGCAGAAGCGGTGGTGTGTCCTCAACAGAAAGACCTTTTACTACTACGCCAATGAGAAAAGTAAGTGATGAGATACCTGCCTGTGGTCCCCAACCCGTGGGTGGTGGCCAAGGGCATGGACAGGGCTGGAAAAGAGGAGAGTTCTTGCTGAAGGACAGGCTAATATCTGAACAGAGAAAAGCCTATACCATGGGAAGGTTGTAATTCCCTATCAAGGCATAACATGCAAGTTCTAGAAAGGTAGATCTCAGCTTGGTTTGTTGTTTTTTGTTTTTTTTTTTTTTCCCCCTAAACGTCTTTATAGGTGTGGAACAAGAGAAGAGAGACACAGGGACAGAGCTGTGTGTAAATAAAATGATGTACTGAGTTTTCCATTAGCCATCAGCTGGGCTTCAACCCCCTAAGTGACTGTATATAATCCATGTGTCAGTGCATATAAATATTTTGCAGTCATGCTCCATCAGGTACATATAAACAGACAGCTAATATCTCCAACAGAGTTGGCATGATTAGATATATGGCCTTCCTTACCCCGTTCCACCCATCTAGAAACACGGCATGAAAACAGCTTCAAAACACACACGTCCACCCTGGGTTTACAATGACCGAGTCTGCAGCCAGGACAGGATTAAACCCCAGTGGGTCATGGGGGATGAAGCTGGGTCTTTGTCCTTCTTCCACATCCTTTGTCTGAAGATCTCGAGCACTTTTTGTTTCCAAACAAGCTTCCCAACTCCCCTTGCCCTGGCAGGGGTACGAGCTGCTCGGGCTTTCCCAGCGAGCTGCTGGCAGAGGTAGGTGTTGAAGCCAAGAGCGAATATTTGGTTGTTTTTGTGAGGGACGAGCAGATGTCAGCTTCCAGATGGTCTCCAGAAGACGAGAGAGTAAAGCAAAACCTGTTATCGATGAGCTGAAACCCTTACACAGGGCTTGGCCTCACCCCTGGCAGTTTCTTAAGGATCTGTGAATCAAAAAAAGATTCAGAGCAACTGCCTGAATCGTCCTTCAGCACTTCCTCAAGAAGATTCATAAGGAAAAAAACAAGCTGGGGTAAACAAAGATGCCTCGGATGACTGCAGTGAAGTCCCCTCTCCCCACCCTGGCTCACACTGGCCATGCCTGTGCACCGATGAGATCCGTTGGCCAATTCTCAAAAGCCCCACTCAGTATTTCTTCCTGGCCACCAGCCCGTTAATGCCTCACCAGCAGAATAATCATCGGGATCACATTCCCCCAGTACACAGTGGGCTCTGCTTCATTACAACCAGCTCGTCTCACGCAGCCCTCTGACCCTGGCAACCTTTCGCTGGCTGCTCACAGTCTCTCGAGGCTTCAAAGGGGCTTCCTCTTTACTGTGTCTTCATGAAGATGTTCTAATATTCTCTTTGGATTTCCTGGGGGTGGATATGCTTAGACTGAAGGGGTTTTCTGGCCGTTTCTCATTGACATGTGGTGTACCTCGAGTTCCTGATGTGGGCGACAGACATCTGCACCAGCCAGCAGTGCTGGGAGCTCAATAAAGAGATGCAAACTCCAGATTCAGCGTGTTGCTCTTCTTCCAGGCAAACAACCTAAAGGCAACTTCTCCATCGAGCACTATAGTGCCCGGCTGGCTTTTCATCTCCGCAAAGACTCCCGAAAAAGATGCTGTTTCGAGTTAACCTGCCCTGGCAAACGCACCTACGAGGTAGGAACTGGGGAAAGAAATGGATCTTCTATGCTGGTTTGAGCACTAGGCACAAAAGCAAATGGTCCCAGGTCTGGGGGCAGAGGTACAGGCTGGACCTGCAGGGTCAGGAAGGCTGTGAGTCTCCAACTCCTCTGGTACAACAAACCAAATGGCACTGCAGAAGGTGCCAATGCTGCTGCTGCTTGGCAGATCATCTCAGCATGAACCTTCCCTTGGCACAGGAGTGATGCTGGGCTCTCTCTGCTCTTGTGGGGCGCAGGGGTTAAGAGAGAACGTAGGTTAGAAGCAGTAGAGGATTGGGTTTGGAAAGCCCATTTTTAAATAAGCAATTCAGAGCCAGGTTAAATTTAAACCTTCAGTTTGTTGAGTGTCCAGGGGGAAGCCTAAAACTGGCGTAATGAAAAACCTGGCCCAATCCACAAAGTGTACGTGAGAGCCTTCCTGAGCTTCAGGGAGATTTTTGGATGTAGAGTCTTGGTTCAGAGTCGGTATAGTGTATTCAGTGGGGATTGTGGTTTTCATCTGAATTATTTTAATGAATTGGGCTTGACAGCCTTCCTCTGGGATAGTCTAGCTTTGTTCCGCTTCTGCTTCCCTGTTTGGAAGAGGGAGATAAAGAACTGAAATGACTTTCCCAAAGTTACAGAGTAGAAAATGGCAGATCCAGGATCTCCATCCCCTGTTCTAGCTGTGAAGCTCTTTTCTTCTTCCTACATACAAGAACCAGCACAGTAACAGGTGAACCTCTCTCCAGTTCACAGCCCCAAGCCCGGCAGAGGCTGAAGACTGGGTGGATCAGATCCAGTTCCTTCTGAAGGGTGAGTCTGGCATCTTGGCCCAAGCCAATGTGCCCAGTTTGTTTGGGCAGATCCTGGCAGCATCTTCCCACCTGGCTTGGGCTGCTCCTTCTGGCAACGCGTGGGCTCGTGCTCATCACCGAGACCTTGCTGGAGTCCCAGCATCCCTTCTGAGCAAAAAGAGAGGTTCTGGGGCTTTGCTCGTTCAAGCAGGTGGTTAAAAAGAAGGGGTTGTTTGGAGCCCACAGGTATTTGGTTTCAACTCAAGAGCTTTTTGGCTGCTTTTAGAGCACAGAGTTGTGCGATGTCTCAAAGCCTGCAAGTGTCACCAAGGGGGACAAAAACAGCTCCTTGCTGCTGACGTTGCAGATCTGCTGTTCTGCCCTTGGCTGATGCAGGCTGGGGTTTGGCTCCACTGGAGTTGCTCCAATTTGAGATCAACAATACTGAGAGAAAGCACCAGCCCAGCTTGTGGAAACTCTCTGGAAACCATAGACAGCTGCCCAGGAACTGGGTCAGGCTCAGTTCCTTGAGGCACTTGTTGAATTTGACTTTATTCTCTGACATTTGCCACCTGTTCTTGGGCTTTTCCTTTGTTTTAGCCTATTCTCAGCTTCCATCCCGTTTTCTTTATCCCAGGTGCTCATGGGCCAAGCAAGAGGCCAGTTCACTCCTGGCAAAGTCCATAGTGAGCACAAAGTACAGTGGCACAGACCTTGTTACTTGATTTCAACTCGCTGAAAGTACCAGGTTTGCCCTTTTTCACTCTGCTTTTGCTCTCTCCTGCCAGACCTGAGCTCCCTCACCATTCCATACGATGAGGAGGATGAAGAAGAGCCCTACAATGATGTGGACAGTTCTGACTCTGTGAACACAACATCCCACAATACTACTCTGAATCAGGATGAGCTGAACATTGAGATGAAAGAGGATGACATCTACGAGGTTTTGCCAGGTGAGCAACCAAATAAGCAGGTTAAAACCCGAGCGATCCCCTAGTTGTAGTCCTGCAAGCATGAAAGGAGACCTTGGCCACGCAACATGTTGATGGGAACGAGCATCCAGGACTCTGCTGAGCACAATGGACCCAGAACTCAAAGATTTAACCCCATTTCCTTGTCCAGACTGGTGGATGGACCACAAGAGCAAACCCTTTCTGTTCTGGTGAGGCAGAGGGTTTGTAAATTCAGGTGAGGTGGCTTTTAGAGGTTGTGCTCCGTTCAGCTCAGCTGATATTAAGTTTGGTGAGAGTGGAATCTCTGGGCTGTGTTACCTGGAAAATCAGACTTTAGATGATGAAAACGCTCCCTTCTGGGCATGCAGTCATGGCTGTAACACAATTAGTGGCCTTCCAAGAGATGATAGAATAACTGCATTAAAGACTCGTGCTTGTTCGCTAACGGTGCACGAGGTCTGGAGGTAGCAGGAGCCTGGAGCAATCTTCCTGGCACGGAACCAAACAGCCTGCGAGGGTGACACGGTCTGCAACGTTTTACTGTTACAGCAGAAACCGTGGGGTGACATCCCTGGGGCTTGGTCAACAGGTCACCTGAGCCTTATTGAAACCCCTGTGCTGTTCTGCCTCGGCGCCGTGGTTGGGATCACCCAGTTCTGCTCCCTGTCCCCGAGAGCAGGGTCCCTCGCTGTCGGTCTCTGGAGATGTTTCTTCTTATTTATTTCAGAACTTTTATATTTGTAGTGATTAAAAATATATATATATATATAAATATTAAGCGCACCGGAAAGTTTTGCGGTGCCTGAGATCTTTGTCTGGTCATTGCTGCCAGAGGAAATCTCTGCTCAGCGGTTTGCAAGTGGCATCCAGACAGTTGCCAGCAGCGGAGCTGGGGCTCCGGGGCTGCCTGAGCAAAGCCTCAGCCTCTGTCCATCCTTCATCTTTCCATCCTGACCTTCCCTTTCGCTGTTTACATCCTCAGCAATTTGGGCAGCAGCTTTCTCTTCCTCCGGGCGTACGTACAGCCGTCCCCCAGCTCAGCAGCAGCCTCCACGCCGC